TATTACTCAGCAATAAAAGAGAATAAAATCATGGCATTTGCAGGTAAATCAATGGAGTTAGAGAAGATAATGCTAAGTGAAGTTAGCCAATCCCAAAAATCAAATGCCAAATGTTTTCTTTGATATAAGGAGGCTGATTCATAGTGGGATAGGGAGAAGGAGCATGAGAGGATTAGATGAACTCTAGATAGGGCAGAAGGGTTGAAGGGGAAGGGAGGGAGCATGGGATAATTAATGATGGTAGAATGTGATGATCATTACTATCCAAAGTACATGTATGAAGATATGAATTGGTGTGAATACACTGTGTATACAACCAGAGATATGAAAAATTGCACTCTATATATGTAATAAGTATTGTAATGCATTCTGATGTTATATATAAATAAAAAATAGATTATGGCTCAGAATTATGGCTGCAGAATGTCAATGGCTATAATCAGAAAATTAAAGTGAATTCAGAGAATACTTGGCAAATGTTGGTTGATGTTTAATAGGTCCTATAAGAGAATAAATTATATTGAAATCTGGAAAACTTGTAAAAAACAAAAATGTGAGTTAAAAGAACAGTGAAATACACATACCCTAAAAAAGGAGAAAGGACGGCCAGCATCAGAAAGGGGCCGTGTACTTGGTTAGTGTTGCTGCAACACCGTCTTCCTCCTTACTCTCCCATGTCAGATGCATGCCTCTCTCTAGTCTTCAGCAACGACTGTTCCTTCTGCCTGACATGTGCTCTCCATGTCCTCATGGGTCTGTTCCTCCATGTTTTCAAGTCTGGCTAAACTCTATTTAAAATTACAAGACCAATATCCCTACTGCAATCCTCAACCCTCTCCACCTTTCATTTTTCTCCAATGAAATATACATATACATAATTTACTTATTCTAGTAATTTTCTTCATTTTCTGTTGCCCCACCACACATACACACTGAACTGAATTGAATTGAATTCAATTGAGCTGAATTGGACTTCTCTGTGTAGACAGGATATTTTTTCTCTTTCATTTCCCCAAATACAGTCACAATATCTGATAAGCACTCCATACATGTACGTTCAATGACACAGATTTAGTCTTAGCACCTGAAATGCCACCTTTCCAATGATAATCATCATGAAACTGACATGTGTTTGAACAACAAATTTGAGAACTCTTAATGTTGAGAAGAGGATATATTGTCCTTCAACAAACATTCAGGGAATCAAATGGTAGATCTTCTTATTGTAGCTATTACCACAAATTTTATTTCTCTTTAATTATTCCCCAGGAACCTTTTGAAATACCAGGTTATTTAAAGCACAATAGGAGGTAAGAGCCTATTTCCACAAGCTCTGTATTCCTCAGGGAATGGCTGGGCTTAGGATTTCATTGTGAATAATTAAAATTACAAAAGTATCCATGTGCTGAAGAAGTACTTTAATAATAAGAAGGGAAGGGTTCTCAAATCTCAAAAGACCATGATGTAAGTTAATAAACAGAAAAGGTTAACTTCATATGGGCTTTTATCTTGACCTTAAATATGAGTATTGAACAAAGGAGCAAAACAGCTTTTCAAATTTACTCTTCAGAACTCATGGCAGGTTACAAACTGCAGGTTCCAATACTCAGAAGCCCCTCACATGCTTCCCACCCTCTGGGGTGCTATTTTATTCCTCTTGCAGAACTTTCTTCTCAGCACATACCACCACGTGAGTTAAAATTTTCCATACCATACAACAACAAGTGTCAACTGTTGTGCATCAGTGAATTTACTGACATGTGCTTTCTTCTTGCTCTGAATATGTAAATATTTGGTTCAAACAAAATTCAGACACAGAAGCTTAAAATATTAATTTTCTTTATGTTTCAGAGTCTATAGAACATATTTCTCTAGCTTCCTTATCCTTTTAAAATATTACTGAGTATTGTTTACAAAGAGGCCTGGGGGGTTTTGTGTGAAAATGTGTAACTTTTAGAGATAGATTTATTTTCAATATTATCTTAATTCTGTTGCTGGTTCAACGGAGGAAACATGGAAATCTCTGATTCCACTCTAAATTCTTATCTGTGCTATCAGTTTCAGTAGTTTAATATGTTTGGGTTTTATGTGAAACTACCCTTTTTTAGAAGACAAACCCGTTTTGCATCTTTATGGTTTTTTATTGGTGCACTATATGACCTTCTTTGGATTACAACTTTAGTATCCCTGAGAAACATTACAAAAGAAGATTCAAGTAGAGCGAGTATTGTCTTTTATTTAATATATGATGGTAGTAGGGTTTCAATGTCAGTGAAGTAAGTAAAGTACCTGCAGTACTATCCTGAGAAATTAGGAAACAGGACAGAATATAAAGGACTAAAACAAAATGACTTAAATTTTTCATCAAATGAGTTACAAAGAAATTGAATAGCTACTAAGACTTGTGGGGCAGCTAAGTGAATATTTGCTTCAATAATAGATTGCAACATTAATCATATGTAAGCATCCCACAGATAAAGAAATCTTTGAAACGTTTTAATATTAGTTATCTCATATTAACATCAAGTTCTGCCTTCTCTCTGCCTATGCATATAATCACAATATATGTGTATAATTGAAAGGTTTATAATTTAAAGGAGTATAATTTAAATGTGTATAATTTAAACTTGAAGGCAGTGTTTTTCATTTTTAATAATTGATTGGAAATGGGCAAGATTCACCTTGCTGTCTCCAGAATAAAATGACATTCACACTTCCTCCAGATCTGTACAACATTCTTCCCTGAGAAAAATCATACAGTCATTCAGGATAATAAAACATTAAGTAAGGATTTTGTTTTAATCTTACTATATGGATCACATCCAAATCATTGGAAAATCCATATCCATCAAAACAAACAAAAGACTCTTGTTATTTGGGAAATTAAACCATCTGTCGTATTACTATAATTTTCCACCCATCTTGATGTGATTGAAAAACTAAACAGAATGCCCCATGGACACAAAAATCTCCAGATATTCAAGTCCCTTGAAGAAAACGTAGTGTTTGCACATAATTTACCCACTTTCTCTCATAAACTATAAATAAACTAGAGATAATTTATGATACCTAATATGATGTAAATGTGCAAACGGTTGTTACACTGTGTCCTTTGGGGAACAATGAAAAGGAAAAACATCTATGCTTAGCACAGATGCAAATTTTTCTAACATTTCCATTTGCAGTTTATTGAAAACACAGCTGTGGAACCCACAGTTACAAAGGGAAGACTGTACCAACAACAGTCATTTCACTTTAAATACTAAATGTGATAGCCAAGAGCAGGGTCCTAAGCAAATAAGACACATAAGAGTTAAACTTCATCTCTGTGACAACAGACTGTGAGGGGGTGGCACAAGTGAGTGAAGCAAGAAATCATGTTTCAAGGTTGTTTCAACAGAAAAGATCTACAATGGCTGTAACAAGTACTAAAGTGTTTTTATACCAAAAGGATGCAAAAGAATAAGCACAGAAATCAGCTATTAAGAAAATAATATGGAAACTACACACAAACACACACAAAACAAACCAAAAACACAACTTCTGTCCATTTCACAATGGTGTTTTTGCTTTGCTTTGCTTCACTTTGCTTGGGCACTAGGGAAAGAACCCAGCTGTGTTTTACCACTGAGCTACATGTCCACACAAGTTTTGTTTGTTTGTTTGTTTGTTTAGGCAGGGTTCTTACTAAATTGGGTAGGTTGGTCTTAACTTGCAATCATCCTGCCTCAGACTCCCAAATCACTGGGATTACAGGCTAGCTCTTTGGCAGCAAAATTGTTCACATTATATATTGTAGTCACTCACAGAAATTTATCTTCTAGTAGCAAGTAGCAGTAGCAGATCTCATTTTCACATTCACGTGGGAATGAATCAAAATTTTCTTGTTTTTAAATTTATTTTTAGTTGCAATTGGACCCTATACCTTTATTTCACTTATTTATTTATTTTTTTATGTGGTGCTGAGGATCAAACCCAGAGTCTCATATGTGCAAGGCGAGCACTCTACCACTGAGCCACAACCCCAGCACCATGAATCAAAATTTTCAACCAGAGAATCTCAGGTACAAAAGTGCAGGACTCTTCCCCACACCATGCAGCTGAAATCACCAGTCTTAACAGACAAAAAATTCTTCTTAAACACCAAACATGCAATGAATATCATATAAAAATCATATATTTTATTCCTGAAAAGTCCTTTTAACCATTTTACAATACCACAAAAAGGCAAAAAGAAGAATATGCCCAGCTTCATTCATTTTATTACCTAGAGTCAGGACTTTTGGAATTGTTTTAATGTAACACTTTACTTACTACCATTATTAATATGACCAATTTTAATAAATTATTCTTATATAATGCTTTAGGAAGAACTTCTCATATAATGGCCTTATGTGGTAAACATATAGCAACTTACAAAAATAGAGATGAAGCAACCTACCAAATTTTAAAGTTTGCACCTCCTTATTCTGGCTTTGTTTCAGTTTGCCACAGTATGTTTTTTGTTTGTATTATTATCTGTACCATACAAAATAAAATCTTACTCTTGAGGAAAAGATGGTGGAGACTACTGTCTTATTTTTGCTTTCAACAGAAACTTGTTTATTATTTAATTCAATTATATTTAAAAGAATGTACTTTAATAAATCCTACATATGTATGTAACTATAACACACTAACTAAAATAATAATAACAATAATAGATTAGTAGAGCAAAGCAAGAAGTCAGGGGAAGGGACATACTGGGGAACAAGAGTGATCAAATTATATTATGTGCATGTATGAATACGGTATAGTAAACCTATTATTATATATAATTATAATACACCTATGCAAGGAAAATATGAATATGGTATAGTGAACCTATTATTATATATAATTATAATGCACCTATGCAAGGAAAATAATAATAATAATAAATAATTTGGTGTTTCCAGGAAAAAAACAATATTCAACATTAAATGACAATAACCTCTCTGATCTCAGTGACTTCTACACCAATGAACGGGTCCAACCAAGAATACACACTCTCTGTTACCCACTTCATCCTCATGGGCTTTCCCTCCAGCCCAGAAATGCAGCTCCTCTACTTTGGGCTCTTCTCCATGACCTACACTCTGACCCTGATGGGGAACGCAGCCATTGCCTGTGCTGTGAGGGGAGACCGGCGCCTTCACACCCCCATGTACATCCTCCTGGGCAATTTCTCTCTCCTGGAAATATGTTATGTCACCTCCACAGTCCCCAACATGTTGGCCAACTTTCTCTCCACAAGCAAGTCCATCTCTTTTGTGAGCTGTTTTGCACAATTTTACTTCTTCTTTTCCTTTGGGTGTGATGAGGGCTTCTTCCTTTGCATCATGGCCTTTGACAGGTACCTTGCCATCTGTCGTCCTCTGCATTACCCACGCATCATGACCAGACAGCTGTGCACTGGCCTCATCATCTTTGGATGGTCATGTGGGTTCATCCTCTTTATTACCCCAGTTGTTCTCATTTCACAATTACCCTATTGTGGTCCAAATATCATCAACCATTTTATGTGTGATCCTGTCCCACTGATGATGCTGTCCTGTTCTGAAGACTCCACCACCCAGTTCATTTACTCTGCCTTCAATGCTTTCTTCATGATTGGCACTTTTCTCTTCATTCTTTGTTCTTATGCTCTGGTGATTCTAGCTGTGGTCAGGATGCCCTCAGCAGCGAGCAAACGCAAGGCTTTCTCTACTTGTGCTTCTCATCTAGCTGTGGTGGTCCTGTTTTTTGGCTCTATTATGGTAATGTATGTTAGCCCTGGATCCAGACACCCAGTAGAAGTGCAGAAAATCATTACCTTATTTTATTCTGTGATAACACCCCTCTGTAATCCTCTAATTTATAGCCTGAGGAACAAAGAAATGAAAGCTGCCCTCAGAAAAGTCTTTGGGACTGAAATACTGCTCATAAAACATAAACCAAACATCATAGCTAACTGAGTTCCTTCTCAACCTACCTAATCAGACAGGGTGGAGAACATTTTCTAGAGAATTTAATAATTTTGGTTAGGGAGCTGTTAATAAAGACCTTGTATCCTAAATATTACTCTTTACAATGATGGATTAGCCTTGTTTGAGAAATAACATTGTCTCAGAAAATTCATATAGAACTCAGTTTCTCAAAGGCAGTATAGATACAGTTTGTATTTCAGAATTAGGTGAGCACATAGAAATGTAGTATAGGTCCTATCCTATTTCCAAACTCATGCTACATGTATTGTTCTTCCCTGGTTACCAAAATAGAGGAAAGATTTCTGTATGGAAAATGTCCAGCCATATTGGTATGATCTTGTCACTCCACCTCCAAAGAACACATGGTTTTACTATAAGGATTTCAAAAGAAAAAAAATAATAACCTTAGCTAGATGTTAAATAGGAGGAGGTCACATGGCACCCACAATACAGATTAGGAATTTAATCGATATTTTTTACCCCAAATCGATGCACTAAATGTAAAGTGCTAGGCATTCATCAGGATATCACTCTCCTTGTTAAAGTTAGTGTCATGACAGGTTTGAGGCCATATTCTATTTCAGCGTTTTTGCTTTCAGACATATTTAAGAATTATAATAATCTTCTTTAAATATCTTTTCTTCTTTAAAGTGTATGTAATCACAATTGTTAGTTTGATAATATTTTTTATTTTAATCCTGGTCATCAATCCTTTCGTTAACTCTCTAAAATATTATCAAACACACCAAAAATAAGATGCAATTTATAGAGCTGCATTACAGCTGACAGAAATGCACTTGCATTAGAAAGCAAGATACAACTATAATTGGTCTTCCTTTAAGAAAGAAGAAAGAATTTGAGGTTGTCTAGACTTTGAGAGAAAAAGCTTTCTGATGGGTTTCAAAAAGGAAGGGATGTTGCTATTATCTGGATATAAAGTATCCTCCCAAAGACTGATGTGTTGAAGGTGTAATCCCCAATGCAGCTATGTTCAATTCAGAGGTGGGTACTGGGAAGTGATTGGATCATGAGGGTTCCAATAAACTAATCTATTGATGGGTTCATAATTGAATGGACTATTTGGAAGTGGTAGAAACTTCCTAGGTAGGGCTTACTTGGAAGAAATAAATCACTGGGCCCATGGCCCGGAAGAATATATCTTATTCCCAGACCCTTCCTTTCTCTCTGTGCTTTCTGGTTGCCATGAGCTGAGCACTTCTGCTCCACCACATGCTGCCCGCCATGACAGTCTGTCTTGCCAAAGGCCCAAACTATGGGGCCCGGTGACCATGCACTGAATCCTCTAAAATTGTGAGTCAAAATAAATCTTTCTTCTTTTAATTTTGTAGATATTTTGTCACAGTGACAAAAATTTGATTAACCCAGCTATCTTAAGGCAGATTTGTTTTTTGGTTTTTTGTTTTTGTATTTCATTGAATAAAATGTGAACAATCATTCAAACATAGTATTTTCATTCGAAAAACACCTAATTCCCAACCTCGCCCAAAACATTTTCAGTGTAGTTGTACGATGGTGGTGTTTCCCTGACATTTTAACTATGGTTTCCCTTTGAGTTCCTAAGTTTCATTCATTCAATAGTCGTTTATCTTTCTGAAAAGAAAGGGAAATGAGATGGAAAATTGTGGTATTTAGTTGAATGCATTTTTGACTGTTTATAAAGGTGTGTATGTTTCTTCTGTAATCAACTTTGAAAACAATAATTAACTAGGTTTTCCATATCTCAGACTATATGTGTCCCAGCAAAACTTTTACCTCATATTTCATATTATTGCCACTTAATATAATGAAATCCAAATTAAAATATTGAAATAACAAAATTTTAACTTCAAAGTTGTCTGATATACTTTAAGACATGAACTATTTATAAGAATATAAATAAAAATAGCTTCTACTCAGTGGATGATTTCTAGTCTCTACACACTCCCCTCAACCACTAACAAAACTTAAGTATTTTTTAAGTTGACTGTTTTTTTTTCAAACCACATAAACACTTATGTTCTGTATATGCTGATGGCAGCCCTGAAGCCTACTTCATTTATTTCAATAACAAGAACTATTTCTGAGTATTTATCAGTTGCTTATATTATGACAAACCACTTCTACTCATGGTCTCCAAATTTTCAAGTGTATGATTCTAGACATACTCCAGGTGAAGCAAATAAGAAAGGAGGAATTAATAATATAAATAAAGCAAATGTTGTATTACATCAAAAGAAAGCAATTTGTGAAATGTTCAATAATATCATAAGCATTGTAACTCTTCAAAGTATTTGGTAAAGATCTTTATCCAATGTATACAGAACAACTTCCTTTCCACCCAGTGCTCTCATGGAACTATTATACCCTGAATATAATTTGAGGACAGTCACTTCAATTTTGTTATATGCACCTACAAATATATCCCACAACCTCAGGGGCATACTTTTCTCAATATCATATAAATAGATTAGAAAACTAACCTAACAGTTTTAGTGAGCTTCCACAGTTTTATAATGTCACACAATTGATAAATGATAGTAGAGAAAAATGATTATTGTAGGAAATGCTTTGGAGGAGCTTTTATTTTCACCTACAGGTATATTGATCATCACTCCTGAAGGACTATGAAGAGCCCCCGTAGGTGACCAGTCAGGTGGTGGTAACCCCTGAATAGACCAGTATCAGACTCATTAGGCTTTTTCTCTTGATGAATTTGAAGGAGGCTACAAGGAAGGGGAAGCCATCAGCAACAGCTCTAGTACAGCCTATCTGTGCCCTGGGCTTAGCCTTTTAGAATGAGACCACCCAGAGCTTGATTCTTTGAGCTCCAACAAGCAAACTGGAGATGCAAGGGAGCCTCAGTTAGTTACATTGGCAGTTGATTCCAGAAGGAGAAGAAAGGAAAAGGAAAGCAGACAATGGAAAAGGAGAAAATGTAAGAATTATGAAGATTTGAAAGAAAAATGGGATTCACGTTTATATTTGAAGAATTTATCTGAACCTCAAACACCTAAAAATTTCTTTTGTTTTTAACAATAGCTGTCTTCTTGGAACAGGTAACACAGCAGAGGTAACTGGTTTCTAAGTTACTGCTGAAATTAAAAGGGTAAGAACTGACTGGGAAAGTCACATAGTAACAGAATCTCAACATAAATATTAATAAAAAAATGCATGCCCAAATATAGATTGTATTCAAAAAGTTAGATGGATAGCCATCAAAGTGATGAAGAATCAACATTAGTTTTTCATAAACAGGTCATTTGAAGGAAGATATTAAAAAGGAGTCTCCAAGTAAAATATGAAAACATCCATGAGTCCAAAACTTTCATATACACCAATAGTATTTCTGAGAGTCAGCACTTGGAGAAGTCACAGAACATAAGGACAGCAGTAAAAGAACCTGGCTAGTGCTACTCAGAAATGTATTAGTGCCAAGTCACCCGCCCTCTGCAGCAACTGGTGGACACTAGGAGACTGTGTGGGTTGCTTTGCTGCCTTTGTCAGCTTGGGCGAGAGACATGCTAGCTGGTTTCTGCCAGCTCTGCTAAAATGGTCAAGTCTTTAATAGAGAGGAGCCTGAATCAAGTTGTAGAATCTAACCAAAGGAGACATCTGAAAGGGATCCAACTCCCATATTCTATGAACCATGCAAGAGTTCAAATCTACCCTAATGTCAATACGAGCTTCTCCTATGGATTTATTTAAGAAGCAAGGAAAGAGAGGGATCTTGAGTTTTGCCCTTACATGGGTATTTTTCAGAAACTCTTTTGCTAAAATAGTTTCAGGAATTATTTGCTAAAGCAGCTTATTACCTTGAAAGTCCCTTCTGGCAATGATCAATTTGAATTATCTTTGTTTACAATCAGTATCCATTGTTTCAGTAAAATTGGCTGTACCTAAACAAATTGGAATTGAAGCTATAGAGCCCAACTTCTGAATGAATTTTCAAATATAGTGTTTGAAGTATGGAATATTTAAATAACTCAGAATAATGTTTATAGGTTTCTAAAGTGGCCAAAAGTCATAGTAACAACCACAAAGTCATGACAAGCCGAAGCCATTGGCAGATTAGACATAATTTTTCCCTTTAGACACCAATTCATAGAACAAAAGAAAACCAAGTTGAATCACAACCAAATCTAAACACTTGGCTTTCTTAAGCTTCTGTTTAACTATTTTAAAATGGTAGAGCTGTCTTCAAAAAAATGTTATGAGTATCATATTAGATAATGCATGTTAAATCTGTTAACATTAATCAGCATATGGTTGAGACTAAAAACTATCATCTAAGTATGATAAGAATCCTGGAGAGAGTGTTTATATCCATTGGGCTGGAGGAAGGATAATTTTTAAAATTAATTTTAAATAATTTTAAAAGTACACCTGGGGCAAGTTTGTGAGAGGAGGTTCGGAATGCTTGGGAGACCTGGGGAATTCCTGTACTCAATGTCTGGATGCAACAGGACAATACCAGCAGGCATCATTTGCCTTCTCCAAAATCCACCAGAGAAATAAAGGAGAAATAAATAAAATAAAATAAAATAAAAATATATTTTTCATATTTAATTGACACATTTAATTGTGCATATTTGCAGGGTACAGGTTGATATTTCCAGACAGGTATATTGTGGATTATACCTGCAGGTATAATGACCCAAGGCAGGGAGAAAATGATCCTCAGCATATTGAACTGAGAAGAGTGAGGCAGGAAGAAAGGGATTCTCAAAGAATAAGACGTCAGCTCCTGAATGGGAGAAGGAGGAAGGATGGGCAATATACAAGCTGTAATACACCCAAGAAATTGAAAGAAAATCACTTCTTATCTCTTTCTCTGTGTATATCTTTTTCTTCTCCATCAAATTTTGATTAACAAACATTCATCCAAGAACCACCCAGAAAACACCAAAGTCTTCTTCTCAAAGGCTCGATATTCTTCCCTTAAGTTTGAGGTCAATTTACACTGACTCCAAGCAAATGTGAAAGGGGGATTTCTCATTCAAATACAATACCCATGAAACTCACGTGCCTTCCACTCTTGCTCTTCCTTATCACATTTCTTTGCACTGTTAACATGCACTCCTGCTGGCTGTCATTAGTTTAAGCATATCCGTTTTACTATGGTCATCAAAAGCATGTGGGGACCCTTACTACACACTATTCAGTTAAATCTCAAGTACAGAAAATTTAGGTTCTCTCATTATGATTTAGGCATCATAGTATCCCTTCTAATCAATGTATGTCCATTCCAAATCCTCTCCCAGTGAGCCCATTATAACCTTATGGACATGAGCTGAGACACATTTCTGTTAGAGAGCAAGGATCTCCCAATAAAAGGTTGAAGCCAACTAGTGTCTCTTTTCTCTGTGTCAAACTAGCTGTTGCTCAACAAACAGAAGTAAACACCAGCTATAAGAGCTAATAGGTTCATGCTAGAATAGAAAGGATATGAATTAGTGAATGCAGAACCATTTGGAACATTTTTATAAAAGTGCATTGAAGGATGTGACTAATCCTAACTAATTCAACTCTTAAGTATAAAAATTGCATGTTGATTGTGAACACAGTATATCAAAGGATGTAAATATCTCATTAATAGTGCTTTTAGCAACCAAGTAAAAAAAATCCTGGAATTTGAAACATCTTTAACCTGAACAGGCCATGGATATTCAAATCTGTTTTGAGTCAGCCATGTCTTTCAATAGTGTATCTCCAGGCACACTTCTGAACCCAAATCTTCTTACCTTTCTTGGTAGCATCCCCTTGAACTAGTACTCTAATCATATTTGTTTAGTGTTTCTACACTCAGCTGAATACTGTCTTGTTTTCTTGCTCACAGATCAAACTCCCTCATTTTCTTCCTTGGATTTTCTCAAAATTCACCTTAAGTTTAGCCTTCCCAGACCATCCTATTCAAAAAACCATCATCCCCTGCCACCATTGTTATCTATTTCTTTCAACTTCTTTTTCTTCAAATAATCTATCTCCATTGGAAATACATTTGCTCTGTTTCTTGATTTCTATCTCCCCACACTAAAATGTGGACTTTATTAGAACTAGATGTCACGGCTTATATCCCCAGTGCCCAATATAATGCCTAATAATAGCAGAAACTCAACAAAGTTTCCTTGAATTAATTTGTTAACAAAATTGTTAATTGAGTTCTTAAAATTGTAGAAGCCATTCTGGAGCCATAACAATATAATATAACTCATTTTTTCTGCCCTAAATAAACCTAACTCGTAGGGGAGTCAAAATAACACAAACAGTGTTGCAACAGCTATCCAAAACTCAGACCAACTCGAAATAAACATTTGGCATAACACAAAAACTTTGTGAATTTCAAAAATAACAGTCTGATGGCAAGAGAAGTTCCATGAGCGGTGTTTAAAAATGGGCAAGGTATGAACTGAACAATTTTAAGTTCAGGCTATAAAGCTATGATTATTCTACAATTGGTGATAATACTTCAAATAGCAGTGGTAGAAAATATATTTAGCAAAAAATGAATAAAATTTGAGGACAGGTTGAGAGGAACTTTGAACTACATACAAACTGAAGAATTTGGGATTTGTCCTGTGTACAATTAGAGTGGAAATAAGGGTGAGGAGTGATGGAAAGGAGGTTTAAGAAGATAATTCTGGAATATGAAATAGATCAGAACCAGAGAGACTATTTATTAAGTTACTATGCCACCATAGGTATGGCACGCTGAATCTGGACAAAAATGATGAGTTTAGATAACCAAGGATTTTAGGGAAGATGCTAGAGTTTAGTTGTGCATTCAAGAAGGTGTAGAATTTTAACATTAAGATCTCAAGTTCCAGTTACAAGTAAGTAGAACCATTGAAGAATAGGGATGGTAAGAGCTAATATTTTAAAAACAAAACTAACAAATTTAAGATTAAACATTTGTATTTATTTACACTGGATCCTTGTGTAAAAATATCCAACAGAAGGCTGCAACAGTTTGACTACAATTTGGAAGTAATATTACTGCTAGACCTATCCCTGAACCAGGATTTAACTCAAGGTTTCTTCATGAAGTGTTATACTATAAATTAAGTTACTACTCTAGAAAATAAGAGGGTAGATAGTAGAAATTAAGTTTAGGGGACACTTATGCAGTGTAATTATAGGATTGTAATGCATTCCACTGTTGTCGTGTATTTAAAAAATAAATAAACGGAGACAGAGACAAGGTACAGGGGCAGGGAAGGTGGCAGAGTGGCTTTTTGTCCAAGTGGCCACGTTTATTTATACCAATAGGTTACATTAAGTCATTAGTACCATAACCACATTATTGTTTAGAATATCAGTAAGGATACTTATGCTGCAGTTACGTTTCACAGTTACAATATGCAACGTTAGGAGCTTTGTGCAGCTTTGTGCAGAGAGTCCATTGTCTGAAGTTACTGTTAGGCGGGCAGCTCCAGGAGCACAGGAGCTTGATGAAACATTGTAGTTATCTATAAAAGGAATTCTTCTATTCCCAGGATACGTGTGCCTAAGATCAAGGTCAAACCCTCCTGAAGAGCATTGGTACAGTGGCCAGGCATCCCATGTCTTTGACATGGGAGTTTCCCAATAGCCAGGCATTCTGCGCGTTCCCACAGAAACTTCCCAGCAGCCAGGCATTCTGTATCTTTGCACAGAAACTTCCTAGCCACCAAGCATGCCACAATCACCAAGATTATCAGAGACCCAATCCCAAACTCCTACAATGCAGAGTTCTATAGAGAACCACATGAAAAATAAGTGCACCTGAGGCCTGGATTGGCAGTGACCTCATAAATTCTATAGCTGTTTGGCTCGCACCTACTAACACTCATATGCCTGCATATACTAATGTACTATCAGTAGCCAAAAGGGAACAGGGTTTGTCACAAATCAGTATAACACTATTGAGGTCCCTGATTGTGCCTAAATCTATACTTGGAATCATGAAGAACACAAAGGTAGTGTTTTAATGTCCCTGATGTTGAAGATTTGGTCTTTGTGAGGTTTTCTAATCTGACCATCTAATCTAGTCTAATCTTCTCATCTGGTCATTATTGGTAAAGTATCTGTGCATTTGCAATACTTTCAACATCATTTTTTGTGGGACTAGGGGTACTAAAAATTGACCCCAGGGGTACTTTACTACTGAACTAACCCAGCCCTTTTTATTTCTTTTAAGACAGGGTCTTGCTAAATTGTTGAGACTGCCCTTGAACTTGTGATCTTCCTGCTTCAGTCACAACTTGCCTCAATGAAGGCAGAATTTAAGGATGCTGGAACACACCAACAGAATGAAATAAAAACCCAAAGGGTAAAAAGAATGTCAGTCATACAGTAGTATATATCAAAGTCATATTAAGTTGAGTTGCAAAAATAAAGAAGTCTCTATAAGGCACAGACATATTAGGAACATAATAGCAATAATTTCCTAAGATTTGTATCATAGGTCTAATGAATCCTTTAAAATTGTCTTCCCAACATATAAAAATAAAATAAGAGGAAGAGGGGAAAGCATGATCTCATTTGCCTCATGATCTTCCATCCTCCTAAGCAGTAAAATTATATTAAATTTGACTATTGAGTCCCATAGAGATTCCCTATCATAACACACAGAGAAATTTTTTTAGTGCCTCCTTTATATCTTTGTTCCGAAAATTGTAGATAATGGGATTAAAGAATGGGGTTGCCAAAGCATAGAACAAAGTCACAAATTTCTGCATCCCATGATAGCACTCAGAACCGGGGCTAACATACATCACCATGACTGAACCATAAAACAGAGACACTACAGAAAGGTGGGAGGCACAGGTTGAGAAAGCCTTGTGCCTTCCCAAATCTGAGGGCATATGTAGCACCGTGCTTAGGATACAGAAGTAAGTGCCAAGGATGTATAGGAAGGTAAGGAAGATGATGAGAGAGCTAATGACACCACAAAGTCAAGGTAATTCCAGATACAGGAGCACAGGACAATGCCAGCAAAGGTGCCAGATCACAGAGAAAGTGGTCAATAGTGTTTGGACCACAGAAGGGCACCTGAGATATTAGGATCACAGGGGTTAGTAACCAGAGAAAGCCACCCAGCCAGCAGAAGATGACTAGCCAAACACACAGGTGATTGCTCATTATGGTGGGATAGTGTAAAGGTCTACAAACAGCAAGAAATTGATCAAAAGACATCACTGACAGAAATAAGCCCTCAGCAGCGCACATGGAGAAGAAGAAGTAGAACGGGAGCAGGCAGCCAGCATAGGATATGCTCTTGGTCTGGGAGATAAGGTTGGCCAACATTTGGGGCACATCAGAGCTGACATAGCAGATCTCCAGGAAGGAGAAGTTGGCCAGGAGGATGTACATGGGTATGTGGAGCTTCCGGCTGGACCATACAGCACAGATGATGGATGTGTTCCCTGTGAGAGTCAGCAGGTAGATGAGGGAAAAGATAATAAAGAGGAAGATCTGGATCTCCCAGCGGCAGAGGAAGCCCAGGAGGATAAACTCACCCACAGACCCAGAGTTATTAGTTTCTAAGGCCCTCATTGTCTGACCTGTTGAGGTGGCAGAGAAAGGATCCACAGAAATATTTACATAGTTTTCTTCTTCTTGGAAAAGAGATACATTTTTATTTTTTTCAACTTGATTTTATGGTATTACCATCTTCTCTTTAGAAAGATGAATTGTTCTTTCCTCTTGTCTTCCTTCCTTCTTAGTTACTCAATAAATATGTATTTACACATTGTTATTGTCAGGCACTGTTCTAGAAAATAAGGAAAGAATTATGAATAAAACAAGCAAAATCTGATCTTATTGAGCTCAGGTCAAATACCTTCTGTTCACAGCAACTTCGAACAGTATTTTGGTGACTAGAATTTCTAAATACAGAGAGATTGGTTATTTGAATTCGATTGGAAGAGATTTGAGGAGATTTATCTTGGAACTTTATTTGCATAGCATATACACTGTTTTTACTTAGAGTGTCTGTTCATTTGTGGCAACTTCATGGAAAGCTTATACAGATTATGGGTTAGATGCTAACATCCCTCCACCTTTATTCTGATGCTGGTCATGGACAAATAACAAAGGAATGTAACAAAAACAATTTTATTGTTATCTGAGACACCAATATTATAATCAGCTGAAAATAATAACAAAAGTTTTGTGAAGAAAAAAATAGAGCTTGGCAAAGATAGAATTTCCAAAGCCAATGATGAAGGAAAAACATTACTACATCATAATAACATGGGGAAAGATTTGGCTGGAGACACACACACACACACACACACACACACACACACACAGAGAGAGAGAGAGAGAGAGAGAGAGAGAGAGAGATCCAAAATATAAAAGTTAGAGTACCTTCAAAAGAATTGTTGAATAGAGGTAACAGAGGTAGGGCCATAGGACACACTGCCAGTTCTGACTAGTTCAAGCTTATTTTGCTGATTAAGAAAAAAAAAAAAAACTAGAGGTAAACTACTGAAAGAGTAAAATTACCAAAGCTTTAGGAAACAGCAGTTTTCAGGACCACTTTGTACAGGTTAATGAAATTAGCAGGAAAAATATTTGAAAGCTATTACAGTAGTCCCAGGAAAAAAGTGTAAAGAGCTTGGCACAGGGTGAAATGTATAGAAACAAACCAGGACTGGACTCAGAAGAAGTGCAAAGATAGAAACCTAATCTCCCTTCTTTTAAATCAACAGTGGTTATTACATACCCCCCAAGGGGCTTTCCATGAGTCACAGATTTCACTCTACCTGGGATTCCCCACAGGAAGGAGGAAATGGATTCCCCACAGGAAGGAGGAAGTCACTCCCTGCACAATAGCCCCACTCTGTGGACAACATACTCCCATCTTGCTCTGGCATTTGGGTACCTCTCAGATTCCAACAGACGATGCACAGCTCACTGTTTTGAATATAAATGTTAATATTTCTTGAAATAAACTACTATTTAAAAAGTTTTCCTCCCCTGCACACCACACAGTAGTTGGAGGTAGACTATGCTATGATCTGTGTGAAAGAGAAGTGTAAACCAGAGGGTTAGTCATCTAAATTATTGCCATAGTCTTTACTCATTTTCCTCTGGTAGGACTATAATCCTTTGGAAGATGACCTGAAAAAGCAAACAACAATTTATCCAAAAAAATTTCTTAATTCTCTGTCTTAATAAGGTTTATATAATAGGAAAGCTGTTTGTAAAGAATAATCAGGGAAATTTATGCTCCTTTTTCATTCAACGTATAAAGCAAAATGGACAGTGAGACATGATAAAGACATTGCTGCTCATGGTCTGTTACCACTCCCATCCCCACAGAGCCTAAATGCAGCCCAGCAATGTGAAGGATCAGTCCCTCAGAAAATTTTCTTCAAAAGGTTCACTCATAGACGAAAACATGCCACAAATCTCTCTATTCCCCGTAACTTATCCCTAGACTCCGAGGCCCTATTTCGGGAGACCTCAATCCTGAGAGCTATAGGAACAATTAATGTGTATGACACATACCTGTGTTTCTTTTCTGTAATTATTGCACTTGAGATAAAAGCTACATGGATATGCATACATGAATATGTGTTAGCACACTCACACACATTCCAGGCTGTCAGAACAGTTGTGTTCCTTCCAGAGTTTCCTCTTCTAATCTTAATAAATTACCTTTTTACAATGAAGCCCTGGATTTGATCCATAGTACCACAAAAATAAAATTAAAAAGTTACCTCCTATATAACAAAATATTTCTGACATAAGATGTACACCTTTATATTCAAATATTAATCTTAAAAACCTAAACCTAGAGTTTTCCATTCATGTTGCCCAAATGTCAGTTTAAAGTGCTCGTCCACTAAATCCAGAATGATTCTGATTCCCGCATATCCAGAGCTACCAATCTCCATTCCTTATAAACTCTTAATCATCATATATAGATAAAAAATAGATATTAGTCAAACAAGAAGTTAAGACATCAGTTGTGGGACAGACAAAAATCAATATTTTCTTCAAATCTACATCAGCTTTCTATGCACCCTATGGAGTTAGATGATCATTTACCTGAGTTCTTTTTTTCCCACATTTTTTATTGGTACATTACAATTGTACATAATGGTGGGATTTGTTGTTACATATTCATACATGCACCCAATCTAATAATATAATTTGGTCAATATAATTTCTCAATATTTTCCTTTTTCCTCCCCTCCTCCCCTTAATCCCTTTCCTGTATTCTACTAATCTTTCCTAGATGGATTTTCATGAGATTCTCCCCAACTTTGTTTTCCTTTTTCCTCTTTAGCTTTCACATATGAGGAAAAACATAGAACCCTTGACCTTCTGAGTTTGGCTTATTTTACTTAATATAATATTCTCAAATTCCATTTACTTTCTCACAAATGACATAAATTTCATTTTTCTTTATGAACTGAATAAAATTTTATTATGACTCCAAGGCTGGTTCCATAGTTCAGCTGTTGGGCGTTGTGTTGCTGTAAACATGGATATGCATGTATCACTCTAATATGATGACTTTAATCCCTTAGGATAAATACTGGAGAGTAGTATAGCTGGGTCACGTGGTGCTTCCTTTCCTAGTCTTTTGAGGAACCTCCACACTCATTTTCATAGTGGTTATGCTAATTTACAGTTCCACCAACAGTGTTAAAAGTGTTTTTTCTCCACATCCTCTCCAACATTTATTACTGTTTATATCTTTGACGGGTGCCTTTCTGACTAGAGTGAGATGAAATCTCAGTGTAGTTTTAATTTGAATTTCCCTAATTGCTAATGATGTTGAATGTTTTTTCATATGTTTGTTGGTAATTTTTATTTCTTCTTTTGAGAAATATTTATTCAATTCATTTGCTCGTTTATTAATTGGGATTTTTCTTTTGTTGTTGTTGTTGTTTCTTGTTTTAGTTCTTTGTATATCCTAGATATTAATTGTGTCAGAAGAATAGAAACGAAAGATTTTGTTCCATTCTGTACGTTCTTTCTTACAATCTTGTTTTCTTTGCTGTTCAAAGTTTTTTTTTTAATTTGATGCTATCCCATTTATTAACTCTTGACATTTTTTCCTGAGCCTCAGGGGTTCTATTGAGAAAGTCATTACCTGCACCTATATACTGGAGTGTTGATTTTACATTTTGTTCTAGAAGTTGCATAGTTTTCTGGTATAATTCCTAGGTCTTTGATTAATGTTGAATTGATTTTTATGTAGGGTGAAAGATAAGGGTCTGGTTTCATTCTTTTGCATGTGGAAAACCAGCTTCCCCAGAACCATTTTAAAAAAATGGCTATCTTTCTCCAATGCTTGTTTTTAGAATCTTGGTCAAGAATCATATGTCCTGTGCCTGAGTTCTAGATCACTGATTGTAATTAGAATTTATGTTCTGCACCACAATCCTTACCCATACAACAGCCTCAATAATTTCTGATACAACTGAGCCACAGTAGTGCTAGAATTCACTTATCAAAGACAATGAAGCCAAAATAGGGCCAAATATAAAGGGTCCAAGCTCAAGAATCACCAGTTGAAGAACCTGCCATCAGGAACACTCATTTGTATTTTAAGTGAACAATAAATAAACTTCTTTCATATTTGATTTAATTTTGGGGGGGGAAAAAGTTAGTTGCAGAAAAACAATGTGACTGTTTACATCTAATTTGAACGTTTTGATTTAAAGAAAACAATCTGTAAATGGCTGTATTGACATGTAATTTGGTGTTTTATTGCCTTCAAAGATCTTATTGTAAAATTATTGGAAGAGGTTGTGGCTCAGTGGTAGAGCACTTGCCTAGCATGTATGAGGCATTAGGTTTCATATAAATAAACAAATAAAATAAGTATTCATCAACAACTAATAAAACATAAAATAATTTTTTTTTAAAAAGAGGTCTTTAAAAAAATTATAGGAATAATTAAGGAAATAATTTTTATAGAGACTGAGCACTTACCTGGAGGAAATAGAGAGTGAATGTCAGTAAATAAATTTACCAATAAATCACCATTAGGTCATATTCAGATATAATTTGTTTTAAAAACTATAATATTATAGCTTTCTGTATTTAAGAAAGCTTCATCATTCTTCCTTTAGTTTAAACTAAAATCTGAAAAGCAGACATAAAAAAAAAACCTTATACAGTGGGAAATAGTGTGAAATGGTGGTGGGGTAATGCAAAGGGTTAGAGATGAGCTCCTTAGAGGACATTGAATCAAATGGGCATAGCTACAGAAAAAAAATTTATAAAGAACTGTCCACCTCAACCCCATTCAATTAACAGCAGTAAGAAAGGAACTGTAAGCCCAGCTGCAGGAAGTTGGACCCAGGCTAATTTCAAAAGCTCATAAAGCCTGAAATGGTAAGTAGAGTTAAATTTTTATTAAAGTCAATCACAGAAAACAAAAAGTTATAAATAAAGTTTAATTAAAATGTAGAGTGCTTAAATTTTCTTTTATATATATCACTTTATTAGATGTTATAGAATTAAATTAGATCTATTAACAGAAACAAACTCTTTTTTAATTTTGTATTTGTACTTTTTAGTTACAC